CGACACGCCCCGTGCAGATAGGTGCCGTACTATACATACTATACATACTATATATATAGATTTATATATGCAGAGAGATAACATTAGGAGCGAGTTGTCAAGAAGCGGGGGAGAGTTATAAGAATAATTATATATATATATTAATATATATAATATATATGTCTTAATATTAAGTGAGAGTGAAACGAAGAGAAATAGACACACAAAAAATATAGTAAAAGAAGATATAATATAATATAATATATATATATAATATATTCGATAATATATATAGTATATATATTATATATATATATATATATATATAGAGAGAGAGAGAGAGAGAGAGAGAAAGGAGAGAGAGAGAGAGACTAGAGAGAGACTGAGAGAGAGAACGCGAAAGAGCGACGGAAAACAAAGAATAGATCCATAAATGCGATGCAGAAAGGAAAGCGCATATATACTATTAATAACATTATATTAATATATATACTATTTTGCAGATATCATGTGTTTTATAGATTTACAGATATCGTGTGTTTTATTTACAGATATCGACGAGTGTGAACCGAGGCATGTTGCAACACGTGCGCGGACGCTGCGTTGGACCTTGATCAATGACTTCGCGTGCGAATGTCGCGAAGGCTTCGCAGGAAGATACTGCGAAATAAGTGAGTAGATAGATGCACGGATGGTCGGTGCAAGCGAGAGAAGGGGAGGAAAGAGAGATAGGGTTGGGAGCGAAGAGAGAGAGAGAAGAGAGAGAAAAGAGGGAGAGAGGAGAGAGAGAGAGAGGATAGGTAAGAGAGAGAGACTTGATGGCAGGGAGAGACGGGTCAGAGAGGAGAGAGCAGAGACCATGAGGACGGAGAGCGGCAGCCAGGACAAGACAGAAGTATGAGAGAGAGAGAGAGAGAGGCATTGATGCGAGGAGAGACAGAGAGAGACAGAGACAGAGAAGAAAGAGACAGACAGACAGAGACAGAGAGAGGGAATGACGAGAGACAGAGAGAGACAGAGACAGAGGGTGAGAAGACAGACAGACATTGGAGAGAGAGACTGAAGACGGGAGGGACAGAAGGTGAGCAGAGAGACAGAAGCACTACGCGAGTGATGTGAAAGACACGAGAGAGAAAGAGAAAAGAAAAACCCGCACACTCGTTTTCGCACGTTCATTACGTAATATTATATGTTAATAATGTTTATATATCCCGATTAAGCGGTGGTCCCGATTAAACGGTGAAATTATCCCGATTAAGCGGTGGTCCCGATTAAACGGTGAACTTGTCCCGATTAAGCGGTGGTCCCGATTAAGCGGTGAAATTATTCCGATTAAGCGGTGGTTCCCATTAAATAGTGCAATTGTACCAATTAAGAGGTGGTCCCGATTAAACGGTGAAAATTCAGCATTTTTCCGCTCGTCTCCAAAACCAACGTCGCTAAACATTTCCCTGTGTCTGTCTTTAATTAACAGGATGTCCTAAACATATTCATGATCCTAAACATATTCATAACATAGATGTTCTAATTACATAAGATAGATGTCCTAGTTAACAGATGTCCTAAACATATTCATAAGATGTCCTAAACATGTTCTACTCCCTTTGCAGACGTCAACGAGTGCACACCGGATCCGTGTGAGCATGGCGGTGTGTGCGATGACCTTGTCAACGACTTCACCTGCCGCTGTCCGCCTGGCTACGACGGCAAACGCTGCGAGATCGGTGAGTTGTTTTTAGATTTAGATTTTGAAATTTATTTACGCTTTCAAGTATATTACATTTTTACATATATCACAACAAGTTTTTAAAAATAAATACAGCGAGGGAGGGCAAATTGACTATACAGTCTTCAAGTCACCCACTCCGCAGTTAGAACTATTGCTCTGTTGGGAGGGGGGGGTAGGGTTGAACTAATGGGAGGGGGAGGAGGGTAGAACTATTGGGAGGGGGAGGAGGGTAGAACTATTGGTCACTTGGGAGGTGGGAGGTGGATAGAACTATTGCTCTGTCGGGAGGGGGGAGGTGGGGTAGAACTATTGGTCACTTGGGAGGTGGGAGGTGGATAGAACTATGGCTCTGTCGGGAGGGGGGAGCGGGCAAGGATCTATAATTATTGGGATGTGATTGGCATGGGTTCTGCAGCTAGTCGGGTGGCAGCAGCTAACAGCATCGTAGCGTGAATATCGGGTTATATAGTGGAGACGTACATTTATTGGGTTACTATAGATAATATGAATAATATATATAATATATATATATATAAATGATTAGGTGACAGGTTAACTGCCTATAATTGTCACGCAAACGCAAATACACGCGTTTGGTTACAAGGTGCCGGAACGGTAAATACATGTAGGGTAGAATATACGGGGATTTATATATATATATATATATATATATATATAACCCCGTCTATTCTACCGTATACATCACACTATACCATATACCTCACATAAACATGGTGTTCACATGCATTAGAAGTTAACATATGCGAGTGGTTCTTACGCATGAGATGTTCACATGAGTTGTTCACATGTACGAGTCGTTCAGAGATGTAACTGTTCACACGCACGAAACGTTTACACGAGTTGTTCTTACATATCAGTCATTCACATGTTTGTGTTATTATTCACGTGTGTGTGTGATGTTCACATGTGTGTGTTGTTCACATGTGTGTGTCGTTCACATGTGTGTGTCATTCACATGTGTGTGTCATTCACATGTGTGTGTCGTTCACATGTGTGTGTCATTCACATGTGTGTGTCATTCACATGTGTGTGTCGTTTACATGTGTGTGTCATTCACATGTGTGTGTCGTTCACATGTGTGTGTCGTTTACATGTGTGTGTCATTCACATGTGTGTGTCATTCACATGTGTGTGTCGTTCACATGTGTGTGTCGTTCACATGTGTGTTCACTCTTTGCAGATATCGATGAGTGCAATCCGAACCCTTGCTTCAACGGAGCCAACTGCGTCGATGGAGTGAATAGCTACACGTGCGAATGTCGGCCAGGTTTCACGGGACCCGAGTGTCAGACAGGTAAGTCATCACACCTGTGAGGTTAGCGTGACAGGTGACAGGGAGACAAGTGATACCTGTGAGGTGGGTGTGACCGGGGGACAAGTGATACCTGTGAGGTGGGTTTGATAGATGATAATGACACCTGTGTGGTGACAAGTGACACATGTGAGGTGGACCTGACAGGCGACAACTGTAAGGTGGGTTTGACAGATGATAATGACACCTGTGTGGTGACAAGTGACACCTGTGACGTGGACATGACGTGTGACACCTGAATGACACATGTGAATATATGTGTTAACGGTAAGGTTAGGCTAAGTGTAAAGATTAGAGTTAGGGTTAGGGTTAGGATTAGTGTTATAGTCAGTCTTTTCCTATCAGCATCTGATCATGCAGTAACTCGGTGTTGAGGTTAGGGTTAGGGTTAGAGTAAGGAATAGTGCTAATCGTAAGGTTAGGCTAAGCGATTTTAGACGTGGGTCTAAGGTTGGGATTAATGTTAAGATTAGAGATGTAGATTAAGAGGAGATTCCTAAAATATGCATGGAAAATGAGAAACGTAGCACCACTTCTACATACTTTGTCTGACATCACAAAATAATAGTATGATACCTACTGAACATCTTGGTGTACGATGTACTAAAGAAATGTTGGGCCAGGGGAATGAAATGGGTCTAGAGTTGGGATTAGCGTCGATTTCAGTCAGTATTTTCCTGCATCAGCATCTGATCATGTAGTAACTCGATTCAGATTCTTTATTTAGCACATAACTTAGTTACAATACAGCAGGTGTATGATGGGTAGAACATGAGTGTATGAATAAACAAGAATAGTGAAATTACTAAGAAATGAGTGCTGTGACTCACGACGTCGCTTCTACTTCAGACATCGACGAATGTCGCGAGACTCTGGTGCCGTGCTTTAACGACGGAATCTGCGAGGACCGAGTTAATGGCTTCAGCTGTACCTGCCTGGAAGGCTTCACCGGCCCCGTCTGCGAGACGAGTGAGTGCTGCTGCTGCCCTCTATACTTACCGTCGCCGCCATTTTATCATTATTATTATTATTATTATTATTATTATTATTATTATTATTATTATTATTATGTACTGAAGACATGGTCTTTTTCATGGAGAAAAAATCTGATTTATCTCATTTTCTCTCTGAAGAAATTTCTTTCTCTCTATCTCTGACATTCACACACTCACACTCTCGGCCCCACATTTACAGACATAAACGACTGCCAGCCGAATCAGTGTTTGCACGGAGCAACTGCGTGGATCTCATCAACGATTCGTCTGTGAATGTCCGCCAGGCTACGCCGGAAAGAGATGCGGAAACGGTGAGTGCGCATGCGCGGGCTGCGTCGCCAAGTGTCGAGCAGAAAATCGATGATTTTTTTCATATTGGTTTTTTAATTGTTTAAAAATTATTAGATTAATATAATAATATTAATAATTTCATATACATTATATATTTATATATAAAAAAATTGATTGCAGAAATTGATATCTTGATGGTATTGCGAATTGTGCGCATTATTTGTGATGACGCGTCACGTAATGCCGTCTCGCATTTGTTTGATGACGCGTCGTGCCTGCCGTGCACATTCTTCGATGACGCTAACTATCGGGCATCGTTCACAGATATTGACGAGTGTGACGGCAACGAGTGTGTGTTCGGGCAGTGTGAGGACCTATTGAACGGATACAGGTGTCTCTGTGACCTAGGCTACACGGGAGAACTCTGCGACATCGGTACATAACTATCCTTTACTCCTTACACTTAAACACTAACCCTTAATATACATTATATATATATATTATACAATATATATATGATATAGCATAATATGTATAATATATATGATATAATAAATATATAACACATAGGTAACACAGTTTCTTACTCTTACAGCTTATATGGTGTTACATAGAGTTGTGTGCCGTTATATCGCCCTGTTACACTGCAGTAACATAGTTATATATAATGTTATATAGAGGTTACGTAGCGTGCCATAGCGTTATATGCTCTATAGTGTTTAAATATTGTTACATACAGTGCTATATATGCCATTATAAATTTATATAGTGTGATAGATAGTGTAGTATTGCGATGGTATATAGTCAAATACAAATAGAGAACCGGGAAACGTAGGAATTACAGTAGGTTATGTCAAGGCGAGCGTTGCGGCGGCTGTCTCATTCAATTACTAACGCATAAATTCATTTATCCACGTCGTATTCTCACGGATAAATTATTAAACAAGCCAACTCTCTCTCTCTCTCCCTTACTCAGAGTTGATGATTTGCTCGCCTCGAGCCCATTGCGTGCGTGGAGAGTTTAGGACAGACTGGCTGACTTACAACTTGCGTCTGTCGCCAGGCTACACGGGAAGAAGTGCGAGATAGCGTGAGTAATCGCCAGTTGCTTCTCGTGTAGATCCCGCGGAGATTTCGCGACCAACTGACAGCATCTATCGCTTGCATGCACTCGATATTATTATGCTATATTTAATGTTTAGGATTAATTATATTATATATATATATATATATATATATATTATATAATAGATATTCCTGACAGTAGATATCTTCCTGAGGATTTGATAGCCATCGTCCATTTATTGCTCTCTCACGCGCGCGCGCTCTCTCTCCCTTCTCGTTTTCTCTTCTCTTTTCGACTCTCTCTCTTCACTATCTACCTCTATCTCTTTTTTCCTCGTTCTCGCGCTCATTCTCTCTCTCTCTGTTCTCTCCTCTCTCTCTCTCTTCTCTCTCTCTCTCCTCTCTCTCTCATGCTCTCTCTCTCTCTCTCTCTATATATATATATATTATACTATACAATATATATGTTTATTCTTTCTCTCTCTATGTCTATCTTTACACATTTTTCTCGCTCGCTCTCTCTCCATCTGATATCTTCGCTCCTCTCCTCTATATATGTGTAATTATGTCTCACACGCTCTGCGGTATCTTTATGCAGACATCGATGACTGTAAGATAGGCCCATGCGTGCACGGCGAGCCTGATTAGACCGCGTAAAACGATATTTTACTTGCCACCTGTGAGTTCCAGGATTCACCGGCAAAGCCGCGTGCGCCATAGGATATGTATATACACTCACTCAGGTACACACTCATCACAGCAGTTACAACACACGCAGCACACACACACACACACACACACACACGCGCACCACGCACACACACACACACATACACACAACAACACCAACACACACACACACACACACACACACACCACACCACACACACGCACACACAACACACACACCCCACACACACACACACACAACACACCACACAACACACACACACACACAACACACATCGCGCGCGCGCGCGCGCGCCGCTGCGAACACACGCACACACACACACACACACACACACAGGCATACACGCCACCACCACCACAAGCATCATCTTATGAAAATAATAATTGATAGCCGACGATGTTGTTGTTGTTGTTTTGTGATAGATGATTGATGATGATGCATCATTGAGAAACGAACGACGATGACGATGACGACGATGACGGATGATTGATCGATGTTGGGTTGGTTATATCGATATAATGATTTTGATTTACAAACGGTGACGATGACGATGAACGATTCGGTGACGACGCCAATGACGATAACGTGCTCACTACTTCCCAATCGCGCAGACATCAACGAGTGCGATTCCGCAGCCATGCAGTTAACGACGGAGTCCCCAGTGTTGTGTAGACTGATGCCAGCTACCGCTGCGACTGCCAGCCAGGATTCAGTGGCGCCCTCTGCGAAATAAAGGCTCAAGATTTTCTTCGACACCGGTCTTCTTACGAAAATTCTCTCCCTTGCGAAAGATTCTGTAACAAACACTTTGCAATGTATGCATAAATAATCACGGTACCCGCGTAGAGGAAAAGAGGGGGGAGAGAAGATATACGAAATGATCATATATATATATGTGTGCGCTGCTGTATTGTGTGGTGTGTGTGGGTGTGTTGTGATGTGTGTGTGTGTGTGTGTGTGTGGTGCGTGTGCGTGCGCGGCGCAGTTTGGTGGTGTATCTTGTGTAGTGTGTTGTGTCCGAAGGTGTCGTAGCGTGGGTGTGTGTGGAGTGCGGGTGGTGTGTGTGCTGTGTGTGTGTGTGTGTGTGTGTGATGTGTGTGTGTGTGTGTGTGTGTGTGTGTGTGTGGGTGTGTTAAAGAGTGGTGCGCCAATTTTTTTAAGGTCACATCGAATACTTATGACACCCGAGCAGCTCGTATCACTTTCTCACCGAGAAATATAATGCGCGCGTGGGATCGCCATGAAAATCAACCCATTTATAGCATTTTTATTATAAAAATCAATTGTGTTTCATGTGATATACAGCGACATATACTGCTTGCGCGAGTTGGAATGCAGCGAGAGGCAGAGAGGAACTGCCGGCTGTTATATATATATCCATTAAAGATAGTCCATCAATGTCTGCTAGGCTACCGAAAACTTACAGAAAAATATGATATATATAAATATAAAAAATAATAAAAATAAATATAAAAAATGATATAAATATTATAATACGAAAAAATTGCCGCAAATATTAAAAATAACCACGTCGTAATAGGAACAGTACTTTTTAAGATATGTCGGCGGTAGATAATGGCAGAACGAGAATGAATAAGAGGTCAGAGTCCCCCCCTCCTCATACATACATTTTATATTATACCCCATTATTATCCACTGCTAATCACGCGAAGCTAACGAAGGTTTTTATTATATAGTACAATTATATTTATAATAATAGATTTATATTTATAATTATCCGCGCATTATTTTCTTACAGACGTTGATCTGTGTGATCCTGATCCGTGTGAGAACGAAGGCGTCTGCCGTGACGGTCTAACGAGCTTTACGTGTGATTGCCCGCCTGGCCTCACTGGTCCCGTATGCTCAGATGGTAAGTGGGGATGGCTAGTATCATTCTCTTATACTGTAGCTCTTCTCTCTCTCC